TGTGTGTGTGTGTGTGTGTGTGTGTGTGTGTGTGTGTATATTGATTTCAGAGAGGAAGGGAGAGATAGAAACACCAATAATGAGAGAATATTATTGATTGGCTGCCTCCTGCATGCCCCACACTGGGGATTGAGCATGCCCAGTTGGGCATGTCCCCTGACTGGGAATCAAACAGTGACCTCCTGGTTCATAGGTTGACACTCAACCACTGAGCCAAGCTGGATTGGTCCCAATTAGCCTTTTAAAAGACTTATTTATAATAACCTGAAACTTGGTGGATATTTTACAAAGCAAAGATTTAAATGTGAAGTATGAACTGGAATATAACTCTATGTGCACAAAGCTAACATCCATTTGTTTCTTTTCAGGCCCTGGCAGACACTAGTTTCTCCTCAGAGTTTTATGATGATACAAATGAAGTTTTTTCCAAACTAAAAAATGACCTGTTTGTGTCAGGTGGATTGACCTTTGGTGTAGGCCCAGCAGCCACCCCTGTAACAGTGGATGCAGGTGTATCCGGATCATATGGCTCTTCGATCGTGAATGAGTTAAGCAAGTATAATGAGAAGGTATTAAAATATAATGCCCGTGTTGCACAGTAATCCGTAATCCATACTGAACACGTATTGCCTTAATTGCATTAAAAAGTACAGTAGTAATTGAACTTTCATTTGCTTGTGTAATTGGAAATGTCTGATCAGTGTTAATCACGTTTGTTTTTCTTATTACACTTTTGCACACAGGATCATCACAGAGGGAATAAAATCAAATGATGAGACTAGAGCCCTTATCACTTCGCCCCATTCTTTTTCATGGTTACCTGGAGCATGTAGGGAAATACTTAGAATGGTAATGTCTCAAAGAGAAACAGACAGGCCCTCTAAACTAGACTTGGAAGAATGCTAAAGCAAGCCTTACTTTTCCAAATAGATTGGAGGGCTGACATGCTGCATCAGTTTTCTTTCTGTTTTAAAAAAATTGAAATATATATATATTTGATTTTAGAGAGGAAGGAAGAGGGAGAGAGAGAGATAGAAACATCAATGATGAGAGAGAATCATTGATCCACTGCCTCTTGCATGCCCCCTACTGGGGATCAAACCTGCAATGGGGGCATGTGCCCTTGACAGGAATCAAACCTGGGACCCTTCAGTCCACAGGTCGATGCTTTATTCGCTGAGCCAAACCAGCTAGGGCTGCATCAGTTTTTCATTTATTCATCAAGCATTCACTACTCTCCATTGCCCTGAGGGATGAGGCAGTGCTTCCCTGTGGAAAGAACATCTCCTTAAACTGAAATATAAAGACCAGTTCAAGTTCTTCAGTTGACAGGAGGCAGAAGTTAACCGAAGGGTATTCTAGGCATGGGCAGCAGCAGATACAGAGACCTGGAGATGAGAGAATGTCTCACAGATTTGGGATGGAAAGTGCTTCAGCTGGCTGAAGCCCAGAGAAGGAAGGAAAATTAGGGAGTGATGAGGATAGAGAGGCAATGAGGAGCCAGAGGAATATTTATTGAGTAGGTTAGAAATTTACCAAAATGCCTCAATAACATTGATTCCAGAACTGTGGACTTAGTTGGGGCTCAAAAATGATTTCTTTTTTTAAAAAATATATATTTTTATTATTATCTTTATTTAAAAAAATATGTTCAGAGAGGAAGGGAGAGGGAGAGAAAGATAAAAACATCAATGATGACAGAGAATCATTGATCGGCTGCCTCCTGCACACTCCTTACTGGGGATTGAGCCTGAAACCTGGGCATGTGCCCTTGACTGGAATCCAACTGGGGACCCTTCAGTCTGCAGGCTGGTGCTCTATCCACTGAGCAAAACCAGCCAGGGAACAAAAATTATTTCAAATGATAAAAATATAGTTACAAAAATTAACTTATGCATCAAATATCAATTACATTCTGGAGCTTTGCCACCAATGAGCTACTGATATGAAGGGGAAGCATTGTTCTCTGATCTGGCTATACATACTTTTTCTAAAAGCAGGTGACCTCGTCAAACTTTCACTATCACTTTGGATCAAGGTTTTCATTATCTGGAAGTAATGCCCACACATGACCCTCTTACTCTTAAACCAATTCAGCATTACCTGGTATTGGCTTTTTAATTATTATTATTACATCAGGATCCTGGTTTTCTTTATTACTAAACAGTACATAATTATCACTAACTAAAATGTGAGCTACATTAAGGCAGGGGCACCTCTCAGTCAAGATCATGTCCACTGCACCTAGCAGAGTACACATGAGTATGGGCACTTTTAGATATTTGTGCAGTAAGTTAAATAATTAATCCTGGCATTTTGCCTTGTCATTGAAAATATTTCTAAGCATCATTTTTACTGGATACCTAATACTTGTGTAGGCAGTTGCATAATGCAATGCTTTAACTGGAGCAGGGAGAAATGTGGAGGTGAGAATGGACTATGGGCAGAATAGAGATGAGGAGCACAGGGAAGCACAACGCAGGAAGTAACCTAGGGGAGCGTTGATGAGAACTTGACCTGGACAGTGAGAACAGAGATGCAGCCATGGGAAAAGAAGCTGGGAACATCCTGGTGCCTGATGTGTGCTTGTAAAATATTCTAATCCTCCATGACATATCTTTATGCTCATATAATTATATGTAAACTAGAGGCCTGATGGACGAAATTTGTGCAAGAGTAGGCCTTCTTTTCCCCAGCTGCCAGAATCAACCTCCTTCTGGCACCCGGGACCCAGGCTCCCCTCTGGCCCCAGCTTTGTCCGGAAGGACATCCGAATGATATCTGGTCTAATTAGCATATTACCCTTTTATTATTATAGATGAGCATATAAGTATATGTACATAGACATATATTTACTCAGCTAGTAAGTGCTGACCTTTTGCATGATCTCAGATGGTAAATATATTCTCTCTTTGATCTTTTCCCTCTCCCCATGGTGGTGGTTGTTGTTGGCAGAAATACAGCTTCATGAGAATTTTCACAAAAGTGCAGACTGCCCAATTTAAGATGAGGAGGGACAATATTATGCTGGATGAAGGGATGCTGCAGTCGCTGATGGAGCTTCCAGAGAAGTACAATTATGGCCCGTACGCCAAGTTCATCAACGACTACGGCACCCATTACATAACGTCTGGATCAATGGGTGGCATTTATGAGTATTTCCTGGTGCTTAACAAAGAAAAAATGGAACAAAAGCGTAAGTAGAAGCTTTATGCACACAGTGGCCAGTGCCTACACCAGAACATGGTTTGCAGTTTGCTGAGCACTGACTAGGATCGGTGCATGATCTCATTTGGTCCTCATGACAACTTTATATGGTATCTTTGGTGTTATTTACAGGGGATTGAGGTCCAGAGGGTGAAACAGACTTGCTAATTAAGCACTAAAAATGTGATTTTAGCTCATACTTGTCTGGCTCCTTAAAACTATGTGTTTTTTATTTCAACATGGTAACCTCTTTAGTAATAATCTAGGATTTTGCTATTTAAAACATTAAAATTTATTTCAATGGAGATTCTAGGTTCATGGAACCACCATACCAGTCAGTCAGTGATGACAGAAAACTGGTGTCATTCCAGACTCTTCCTCCTCCTTCCCCCTGGGGATCTCTAAGACCCTTCAGTTCTCTCCCCTGAACAGCTCTCATTCATCTGCCTTCTCTACACCCACTCCAACAGTGGTAGGTGGGCTTCCATCTTTCACTCATTACTGCATGGACTCCAGATAGTTTCTAGGGGAAGGTCTACCCCTTCCAAGCCATTCCCAACTATTGCCACCAGAAGGATCTTTCTGCATCACAGATCTGAGGATGTCACTTTCTTGCCTAATATCCTGAATGGCCAAGAACAAAATCTAAACTTTTTAGCATGACATCAACATGGTCTCACTCCAAACTGCTAGAATAGTGGTCCTCAAAATGTGGACTCCATCTGGCAGCATCAGCGTTACCAGGGAAGCTGTTAGAAGTGCAAATTCTCAGGCTCCCATCCCAAACCCACTAAATTAGAAACTGGGTGTGGGCCCAGTGGCCTGTGTTATGACAAGCCCTCTGGGTGATTCTGGTGCTCACTGGTTTGAGAACCACTGACCTGATCCATAAATGAGTAGAAGGGTGAGAGATCTGTCCATATTTCAAAGCTAAGGTCAAATTCCCAGTTTTAGGAAGTTTCCCTGACTGCACCAGCTCAGGCTGGCCACTTCTTTTCTTCAGCACATTCATATAAATTCCACACTGGTTGGTCTTAAAAAAACAATTTTCCAAATGTTAATATTTTTCTCCTCATGTAGATGGCAAGATCTTTAAAAGCAAGTATCATGTCTGATGCTTTTCTTTCTCTTTAGCACTCAGCATGGGGCTTAGTATGTAGTGAGTGTGCAAAGCAAGACGTGGAGTTTGAAACGGGCATGCATTCAGATCCGTGGCTAGGGACACTCATTGGTTCAGCCATGTATCCCCATATTCATTATTCTTTAATAATTCACATGTTTATTGAGTATCTATGGTGTGTTGGTGCTGGGATACAACAGTGAGCAAATCTAAATATGGTTCCTACCCTCTGTAGCACAGTAGTCTTCCAACTGCAGGGTGCAGCTCCGTAGAAGGTCCTGAAATCAATGTATAGATCACAAATGGCATTTTGAACAACAAAGGGTAGAATAGAAAATACCATAGTGGGTTGTAGGCAGTGCAGGTAAATTATTGCCTCAAGAACCTTTTTTTCCAGTTAAATACAGACACGTACAGAGTCATGATACAAAATAAATAATGTAGTATGGATCAATGTAAAAAAAGAGTTTGAGCCCTAACCGGTTTGGCTCAGTGGATAGAGTGTCGGCCTGCGGACTGAAGGGTCCCAGGTTTGATTCCGGTCAAGGACATGTACCTTGGTTGTGGGCACATCCCCAGTGGGAGTGTGCAGGAGGCAGCTGGTCGATGTTTCTCTCTCATCGATGTTTCTAACTCTCTATTCCTCTCCCTTCCTCTCTGTAAAAAATCAATAAAATATATTTCTTTTAAAAAAAAGAGTTTGAAAAACTCAATTCAGGTGGGTCTTTTTGGAGTCATTCTAAAACATGAGGAAGGAAAAGAGCTAACATTTGTTGAGTATCTATTAGGGTCTAGGTCCTATGGTGAATATTCGCATTTAATTTTCTTGAGGACACGTGGAGGCTGGTGTTATGACAGTTTCAGCCCCAGAAATGCTGAGGCTCCTCGGGGACGTTAATTACTCTGCCCAGAGCTACAGGAAGTTGGCCTCAGAGCCCTGGACCCATGGTCTTTCCACCATGTGGTCATGGGAAAGCCTTTCATTTGGGCTCCGTCTTGGGTGTTGGATTACTAATTAATTGTCTGGGTTATCGCATGGCCCCTCCTCTTTAAAATCTGTGAGGCAGAAATGGGCTTCCTATGTGGTTAATATTCAAAAGGAGCCCACCAACAAATTGTCCCAGGGATAATTACCTCAGCTCTGTTTATAGAAAACCATATGTCGATAATAGCACAATTGGCTATTTGTGAAGGGCTGATTTTCTATAAATCTGGAAAGTTAGTGTTGCTTCTCTATAAATATGGAAATGTGCTAATCATCACCTCATCTGCTGGAGCCCGCTAATAAATCAGAATGTCATTTACATGTTAACCTACAAAGAAAAAAACATCTACCTTCTTTCCCTTTGACAAATGGAATCATGCACAGCCTCTCTCCATGTTCCACGTTTGTCTGGTTTCTCTTTGTCTTTTTCAACTTCCCTCTCTCTCACTCCCTTTCTTTCTTGGTCTCTCTCTCTCTCTCTCTCCCCGTGTCTCTGTCTTTCCTCTTTGTCACTGTGTATATTTAATCTATCTGGATTTAATAATATTTATGTTTTATTAAGTGCTTATTTCTAAGAAACTCCCTATGTGGTATACACATTCATGCCCCCAAAGAGCTGGGCAAGGCATGGGAGCACTTAAGTGAACACTGGCTGGTTTGCTCTGGGGGGATCTTTTGTCCTGGGGTTTGTCTCAGATCCTCCCTGGGTTCATCCTAAGGATGCACAAGCTGTTTGCTCCAATGTGTTCCTTATATAAAATGCTTCTCCCCCAAAGACAGCATGAAATCATGCCATCAAAAACCAGGTAAAGCCTTGGATGCTGGGGCGGTGATGCTGGACTTCAGTGGGACCCTAGACTTTCCTCAAGGGCTGTGGCTCACAGTGTTCTACCTTCTGCAGGAATCAGGATGGCTTTGGGCTTGAATGTTTGAATTCCAATTTTTTTTCTTCTTCTTCATCCCCTCTTTGGAGATCTTACTATTTGTTTTTAGATGACAAAGAGAATAATGTATTGACATGGCTTCCCTGGAATCTGGGCCAGTCACAGATCTGATCATTCACCCTGGGCAGGTCAAGTACTGCAGTGACATTGCTCTGGTCATATGTGTTTCCTGCCTCCCTGTGCACACGCTGTGCTGTCGGCATCCAATGCTCTTCCCTGTCTGGCCAACCTGACAGATTCATCATCCTTCTGAACCCGTATGGGCATTTCCATGTCTGTGAAACCTTCCCTGGCATCCCTCCGCCCCTTCTCCCATGATTTTGTTTCCTTATACATTCACTCTTTCAACCATGTTTATTGAATTTGTATTATGTGCCAGGTGAACAAAATCAATATGGCCCCTGTCCTTGCAAAGCTCATGATCTAGTACAGAAAACGAAATAAACAGCCCCAACTCCAGAAGTCATCTTGGTTCTTCCTTCATGCTGTCACAAATGGCAGGATTTCCTTATTTTGTAAGGCTGCTAATATCCCATTGTATATCTGTGCCGCCTTTTCTTTACCCATTCATCTGCCAACTTGGGTTGTTTCTTTACCTTGACTATTGTGAATAATGCTGCTATGAACATGAGAATGCAGATATCTTTTTGAGATAATGATTTTGTTTCCTTCAGATATATAGCCAGAAGTGGGATTGCTGGATCATAGGGTAGCTCTATTTTTAATTTCTTGAGGAGCCTCCATACTCTTTTCCCAAGTGTCTATACCAGTTTATATTCCCACCAACAGGGGGCAAAAGAGTCCCCTTTTCTCTACATCCTTGCCAACATTTGTGATCACTTATCTTTTTGATAATAGACATTCTAATAGATGTGAAGTGATATATCATTGTGGTTTTGATTTCTCTTTCCCTGATGTTTCGTGATGTTGAACACCTTTTAATGTACGTGTTGGCTACTGCTACATCTTCTTACTTAATCTTCCTATGATTTTGTGCGAGCTAATAGGTTTCCTTACTTCTAAAGATG